GCAAAGAATATGTATCTACGCATATCTAGATATTTCTCTGCTGTATGTATGGATTAGTGGATGGATATAAAAGTGGGTGGATGGGTGAACACTCCCAAGTATTCGAATAGTTGAGGACGATTACGTGTAAAAATATAAACAAAAGGAACGTGTAAAAATATAAACCAATCCGTGAAATACAAAAATACGTCAAATAATGAATTTTATTACTATTTAGTCATGCAGAAAAACAAAAATTTTCATTTAAAAACTATTTATTTGATTCTTTATTAAATTCTTATATGAACCACCTTATCTAATTTTGGTAAAGATAACACAAAATTATAAATAGATAAAAAAAAAGATTAATATTTTCTACTAACACATAACATTTTTAATAATATTATATACACTTACATATGATACAGATTTTATGAATTTTTTCAGATTTTAACTATAACATATGGTATTAAATATTTTATATTTCAACAAATATAAAAAATATTTTAAATTACTAAATTGAGAATTTATTAATTAATATAATTTAATTATTATATAACACAATCACATAAATAACAAGCAAGTATTTAATCAATCACTGTATCAAATACATCAGGTAGCGTTCATTGGATTAAGAATTTTAATTAATTTATTCTTCGATTTATATTAAATTATGATTTAAATTTTCATTAAAGCGAAATATCAATTGTATTCAAAGAATTTACTTGAATCGCATATTTTTTTATTTAATTTCTATTTAAATTGATACATAGTATAATATATATATATTTTATGATTCATTGAGAGGATTAAATTAATTTAATATCCACATTGTCTATTAGATTTTTACCAATGGCTATTACAACTCATACATGGAATAATAATTTCGAAAATTCGTTTTTGAAATATACTTTAATAATTTATAATAATAACATGCCATCATGTTGTAATAAAAGGATATTTCTTTTATTATAACACGAAGGCATAAAAATAAAATTATATTTTATAAATTAAGTTATATATTGCAAATTAAAATATATATTACTAATTAATAAAATTATATATTCTAAATTAAATAATTGTAAATAAAATCTATAAATTAAACTGTCCTACAGATCTTCAATTGGGTACATAAATATTCAACATCATATTTAGAATTATGGAATGGAAAAATGTGATTAAAATTTCACATCTTAATAATTCATTGTAATTTCGTAAATTCGAAACTTCAACATTCTAATGTATTACATATATGATTCAGTTTAAAATTTATACAGATTAAAGTTATTTTTAAAATAATGTTTAAAATTATGATTCAATATATGCAATTAGAAAAAAAATATTATGTATTAACACAACAATAATTTATTCAATATAAGTAATTCCTATATTACGTATTCTTTATATATAATAAAAAAAGTATTTATTGTCAAATTTAGGAAACTCGAAATGCAAACTTGAATTAGATATCTACTTTGTTTACTACTTTTACAGATGAAATAACAAATACAAATTTATTATTTTGACTTACATTTTTTTTTTTTAAATAATTATCGTCGGTCCAACAAAGAGATAGGGGAAAAAATATAAATATTAACTAGTTAATATCAAACAGTTAATATAAAAAACAAAAAGTTTATAATCTTAGTTTCAACACACATAACTTATTATTGATATAACTATATCTGATATCTTACTATTATTACCTTATATGATTTTTACAAAATATTTTACAGGATAAAAATATTGGATTAGAATATAGATATAATTGAATGATCAAAGTTAACTTTCAACAAAATTGTTGTAAAATAATTTATGAAATAATTTCTCTATATTTAATTGTAGTAATATGAATCATAATAGTTAATAAATTTTAAATATGTACCGAAGAGAATGTATAATTAATAAATGAAACAAAAACTCCCCCATCATGATAATGTTGGCATAAATTAGCTTTCGTCTATTACCTCACAGAAAAAAGTTTTAACGTTACTTATTATTACTTTCTCAGAATATCTAAAAAAAAATCAAAGCGTCATAATACAGATTATTCGACAACGCAATATATTTTAACTTTCTCGAGATCACGTTTTGTTACTAGAGATTACCAGTTATGTTAAGCTCTGACAATGAGTGAGCAAGAAAAGTGTAAAATATAAATGATCTCGACAAAATATTAATTTATATAAACTACAAAACAAAATATAAGGAATGGAAGGTTTACATATTTCATTGTATTTCATTAAACGTTAATTTTTTGTATATTTAAAATTAATCACCGCTTATAACGCTTATTGATACATTAACTAATGATAAATGAAAATTATTTAAATAAAATATAAATTAATATATGACAGTATTAAATAATAATGTTATAATGTATAATTTAATTAGAATATTTATTATACGATTAATTTGTAAATAAAGTTGAAAATTGGCTTAATACCGAAGTCTTAAAAAGTTAGTGAAAATAAATAATATTATAGTAAAACAGAAGTTTTATTAGAGTTCAATAAAAACAACGCATTGAGATTCAAAAGAGAATGTTAAAAAAATGTACGCTAAAGTACGATATCCTTGTATAAATTCAAATGAAATTAAGATTAAAATAAAATGACGAGTGCAATTAGATGGGAATATGTTCAGTCGACTAAACCAGTTAAAATATTAACTACAATTATAAAATATTGACAGTAATTATATTTTCAATCACCATAAATCTTAATATTTTTATACGTACGGGAATGTTTATTGATTTTTAATCGATTTGCGCCTTCTGGTGATTTCATAAATTCATGACTATACATTAAACCTCTCTATATGAATATTGTAAGAGCGGCAAAACATCTCATTTTTGATCGAATTAAAATCAATTCTACCAAAATGTAATATTTAGTTATTATATAATAAAGGACTTATGCGTTTTGTATTTGGGTAGCTATGTATATAGAAAATAAAATACATTGAATTCGACGTTAAAAATTTAAAATTATTATTTATGAATTTTTTTTTTCATTTATTTCGAGTCTTAATCCAGTTTATAAAAACGAAGAAGCATCATTTTAATCTTATATTTTATTTATAATGCCAATATCATAGGCACTCATTTACTTTAATAGTTATTAATAGTTTGGAGATTTAAATGCAAATTCAAACGATTATACTTGAAAAGACTTCTGCTTTTGAAAGTACCAAAATTTAAATTAACTTTATAATTGCTTTATCATTTTAATACTAAACATTAAAAATATAAATTAGGAATATGACATTAATAAAATCAAATTCTAAAAATAATTTCCCATTTATTTAATTATCTTTGTATAGTGAATAGCAATGCTAAGCAATTCATTACATGATAAGCATATTATTTAATCAATTGTTTTATATTTCAAATATTTCATTCATATTAGTTGCAAAAAAAAATTTACACGCTATATATTATGATCTCATTATCAGTTAACAAATATTTAATCCGCAGTAATCAGGAGTCAACATAAATATTATATTTATCTCATATCTATTGAATATTGTTTACCTTATCTATAATGATCATTCATCCATTTAATTTTACCAATATATACTACATGATTAAGGCATTATACCTTTTCCAGTATTTCATAATATATTTCCAAATATTATTGAGTATTGATTTATATAAATTATTTATCAGAAAAATTGTTACTTAAGGTAAACTATAATATAAGCTATGAGTATTAGATTAAGCTTAATCCAAGAGCATATAACAGATAAAAAATATGTAACAAATAATTTATGTTATCAAATAAATAAAAATATATTATTATGGTAAGAATTTTGAAATAACAATGTATATAAGAAGAATTATCATCGTAACTTGTTAATGTTAGTAATAAAACTATTTTTAATAAATGTATTTTATTTATTTTATTGTATATAATATTTATTTATTTAAAAAATACTCAAAATTACATATTCAAAAGTAATGAATAAAATAAAAATTCGGCACGAGTTACATTATCACATTGTCAAAAATTATAATAACGTAATGGTTGTTTTAATATAACTACACGATAAAAAAAAAAGATTATCAGAAGTTTTTGTTCTACTATAAGGTCAACGGTCTTTTCTACTTTTTACAAAAAAAAAAAGATAATTAAAAAAAGATCATATATCTATATGATCTATATATGTTTTTATAGCGATTTTTACAAATATTATATTAATTAATTATCGTTAAAATATTTCAATAAACGTCTGCAGTCATATAGTACATAAGGAATAACTATAATACTTATATAAAATAAAATTTGAAATAAATTAATACTGCTTACTTTACAATTAAGAGGATTCAATACCAATTATTATTTTTTTCAGGTTTCAATAATAATTAAAAAAATTATTATCGCTGAAAAATGAAATTTAAAAATCATTTTTCCGATTTTGACAAACAAATTTTCTTGTATACTCTAATAAATAAAATGTAATTGAACTGATATATTGATCTATTATATGAATTTATATTAATTAAAGATTTATGAAAATAGGATTTACTGAGTATAAAAATATAAATTTTATATTGTTTAAATAACAACTTTATTTGTAATATGTCAAAGTGATTCACTATTTTTTTGTTTTTGTTGCTCAATATAAAGTGTTAACTTTCATTACAAATACAAATACCCTAAAAAAATAAACTACTATTTATACAAGAAAATGTTCAAATTCGATTTTTAATATTGATGTTACAAATGCAATTCTCATGCTGTGGAAATTTTTACTTCTTTTAGCTACGATAAAATTGCGATATAATACATTTGTTATGAAACTTGAATTTTGCATCAATTTTGTATCAATTTTGCATATACAACAGCAATTGACATAGTTTTTTTTTGTTTTTAACGTATATTACAATTATAGTTTTTAATATGTCAATCGCAATGATACTCTCAGATTCAAAACATAAATAACAATTATTAATCTTACTTCCTAAGTTTATCTAAAACTATAAATAACAACAACGAAATTATGTAAACAAATTTGTCTTAAGTTTTTCCTGCAGCTTTTTCCTTATTTCCAAAATTAATATCTTCCAAATTCGTTTGTTGAGTTGGCCGGTAAGTCGAGTAAAGATAGCTCTTGCGCGTTGGTTCAACAGTGCCTTGAAAATTATCTATACTCTCCTGAGCTTTTACTGTAACAGATTCAGATGAATCATAATCTCCATATTCTACCGATGGTGACTGATCGCTACTAATTTTACCAGGTGGAATATAAATACCGGGAGATTGTTGTAAAGTTACGCTGGTTACTGATTTTTGAGGATAAGACTGATTATTTTCATTTAGACTTGTAATTGATTGCAGCGGTAAGGCGCTAGGACTGTATGGACTATTATTTGTACTAGATTGTACTGGATTAACACGATTGAGTATCATAGGACTAACGACGTAACTCAATCCAGTTTTCGCTATAGTATTAGTCACAGGAATGTAATGCTGATTGTTTTTAATATTTTGTTGTTTATGGACTTCTTGTTGGATCCTTGCAAGATTTTCTTGTTGAGCTGCATTCTGAGCTAAAAGCTTAGCCAAAGCTTGACGCATTAATTGTTCTAATTGTTGTATTTTTATATAGCCATTCGATGGAGAATTATAATCATTCGATGGCTGGCTTGATAACTTAACGAGACGATAAGCAGTTTTAGAAGCAGGAGCTGTTCGTGCTTCCGAATCAGAATTTTGTTCAATTTGATTATAGCGACTCGGAATTCTATGAGTACTGGATTCTCCATCTAAATCTTTGGAGCTACTGATAATGTAGTTAGTGCCATCGATATACTGACTATTATCGGATTCTCGATCAGAATTTTTTAATCTATTCTTTTGATTTCCATTCTTCTTGATTTTCTCGCGTGGTCTATCGTCATCGTTATCCTCTTCATCGTTATCATGATTCTGATGCTTCAAAGGCCTACTCGGATATCCAGGTGGTATAGGTCCATAAGGTGGTTGATTATAATAATTTGGATAGTAATAAGGATGATGAGGATAATAATTAGGGTACACCCCCATATTATTATACGGCGAAACGCCAAAACTTTGAGCATTAGTAGCAAAACCCGTGGGAAAAGAACTGTACGGAGTACTATAAGGATTTACAAGGCCATAAGGACTTGAACTAGGAGTTGTATAAGGCGTTGGATAATATGATGAAGGTGTCAATATATTTGACGTTGATATAGGTTTTACGTAAGAACTGTAAGAAGGATAACTACTTTGAGTGTAGCTTGTAGAATATGAATCACGAGAATCAATTTTAGGAACGTAAAGTTCAGAATGTAATTGCGTAATCGCAGGGGATGGCTGATCTGGTTTATGATCAATGCCACGTTTCATTAATTTTGGATTATATGGATACTCTGGATGGATGGGTAAGAAAGGTTCGTCATTTGGGTTTGTATTTTTGACGTACTGTTGGGAATGAATAACTGCCGGTGAAAGCAGAAAAATTATCTGAAACAAAATCATTTATATATTTTCAGCTATAATTGAATAGAAATAAAATTGTTTGAGATTAAGGAATACACAAACTCTAAATACTTGTGTTATTATAAAATTTAATATAAATTCAAAATTTAAAACTATCTTAATTATTTTATATACAATATAAAGACGGTATATTACCCATCCTTACCAAAAAATATATTCAAAACAATATATAAGATTTATTTGCTTATATAAGGCTTAATTATATTTTTAAGTGTTTAGAAATTATATTAGTGATTACATTAAGGATTTTAGTGATTATTAATAGTTCGTAAAATAATATAATCGTATTAATTGTAAATTATTTTGAAAATATATGCTGTTAATTATGTATAATATGATTTCTACTAACGAAAATTTTCATTGCGATTTTTTCTTTCTCAACTATTTGGAGTCATCGAATTTTCCTCTGAATTCACACCGCTCACTCGTACCTCTAATTTTCAAACTTCGCGACTTCACGGTTCGACGTTCAATGATAGATCTGTCCACACTGAATTTCTCCTTTATACTGAGAGGCTTGAAAAATCGAGCCGAACTAGTTTGGCTTTCCTCTGCTCTATCTAACGTTGCTAAAGCTAAGTGAACGTGCGTGTGCGTACGCTTGCGTTTATGTGCGAGCGTGTGCGGGTGGGTGGGAATGTGCGCGAGTGCATGCTTATGTGTGCATGGAGTGCACGCCCCGTCCTTAAGCTCACGGTATTCATAGTAGTGAAAACCAAGTAGATCTAGAAGAGACCGGTGTATCTCGTAGTAACGGAAACGTTATGGATAAATTGCACTTGCTAACTCACTCTCGAATTCGTAGATTTCACACACGAATACATGAATTGATCTAACGAAAACCTTATTAAGTAAAAGCAACGTCATACTGGCTTTAATATATACTTGAGAAATATACACTATCCTGTAATTTAGTAATAATAAAAATAATTAATAAATATATAATATAAAATTATGCTTTAAATATGAAGAAAGTAAGTAAATGCTGAAAATAAATTATTCAAATGATGAAATATTCCAAATATTTACTAAAATCCATATAAATTAAAACACGAACATAATAGTATTTTAAATAAATTTCATCATATTGTTCAATTTTCAAATGTTTAAATTAGAAATTAAAATTTAATGCTTATTTTATTAATTTTTTTAAAAATGTATAAGATACTAAATTTATAATACTATATTTTTGAGCTTTATATGCAAAATTTATTTAAAAATTTATTTAAAAATTTATTAATAGTTAAGAAGCATAGAGTTGCAAATAGAAAATAATATTGTATCATTATTATTGAATTATATTGCTTTACATATATAGTAATTAAATCATTTGAACTTGCATATTAACAATTAACACAAAAATAAGTGTTCATTTTATTATATAGTAAATTTTAAACTTTTATGTTCGTGAAGTGTCACATGTTTTTACAAATGAAACGTACTAGCGAATACGAGAAAATTATTCATAAAGATTAACAAAAAATTGCTCAAATCACATAAAATTTTCATCGTCATTATTATTATTTCTCTTATTGATATAATATAATTATTCTTTCATAGATACACTCGTACACGTGAAATAAACTTAGCGAGTTTGGTATTAGAAAGACAAGTGAAAAAATTTATACACATTTTAAGGTAATAGATGAAAAATAAAATGGTTTATCTTTTGAATATACACAAATATTACTTCGTCATGCTATTATAAAATAAAGGTCGAGTAAAATTAGAAATGATAGAATAAATTTTTAAATTATGAACCATTTTTTATAAAAATTAATCTACTTAAAATTTTATATTCCAGATGAAATTTGAAATAATACCTGATATTGACTCTAGAGTAAAAATCAGAAATTGAATCATTATAAATGCTAATTATACTTTGTACAATGCATTGTAATAAAATAAAAGAATAATTTTGAAACATTGAAACTTAATATTCGATATTTATAAAATTCTACCCTATAAAATTCAATTTACTTTTTAAAAAACATATACATTACTACATTAAACGTACTCTACAATATCCATAAATAATCAATAATAAATAACAATTACATTACTTTAATTAATTTTTATAAGTTCCGTGTCAAAGCTATAAAAAATGTTAAAAATATAATTGAAATAAAATAATTAACATATATTGGAATAAAATTATTTTAGAAAAAACTTTATTGTTATAAACATAGAATTGGTTAAGATTTCATTAGTTACTAAGATGTTTTTATATTCTACGAGAAAATTACATTTTCAACTAATCTGTGCCTTCAAGTATAGACAATTATTCATTCAATATTTATGATGTTATTGATAATTCAAATATGTTAATTGACGTACTTATAATTTTATGGAAAGTAATTTTTAAATTAATAACTGAAATGTAAGATCAATAGTACAATTCTGATTAAAAAAAAAAAAAAATAAAAAAAATTATTCGATAAAACGATATTAATGTACTATAAATTTCTGTATTGTAAAACTATAATAATTATAAAATACAATAATAATATTTATTCTCTATAAATTATCATGCATATATATATATATATATATATATATATATATATGAATATGTGGAAAACTATAACAGTCTGTTGAAGCAAATAAGAATATCATATGAGGAAACTGTTTTAAATAAATTTGTAGGATTTAATTAATGATCTACTATTGAAAGGTGAACTTTTTAATCGCATAAAATTATTATTTTATCAATTTAATGATCATACATGACAAGATAATAATTGGAAAATCAATCAAGAAAATCTCATAGAAAAACAATGGATAAAATTAATTTTTAATCATTTTTCTTTTGCGATTTGCAATATATATATATATATATATATATATATATATATATTTTTTTTAAACTGTGTCTGCATCAACGTAATAAAGTCATTACAATTGCGATCAATAAGCCCTGCAAATGTATTGTGTATATCCTTTCCCATAAAAAGAGCCAATCCCTACTATTCCCAGAGAATTCGAAGACAATTGGTAGCAACGGCACGCGAACCGCCGATCGAAATCACTTTCCCGCTTCCTTTTCCTTGTAAAGCAAACGTTCATTGGAAAGCGACTGATAGAAGTACGTCTCTTTCCTATGAATAAAACAAATCAAAAAAAAAAACCAGCAGTTTCGTTCTTAAGTCGACCTTTTCTTTGTAAGAAGCTATCTCCATTTCAGGTTGACACTACTCTCCTTATAGTTGTTTAGGAGAAGCTGTAACAGCAGGAGTCGCGCTTTACTTTCACCGAAAGAGAGTAGAAGTCTTCAATTGAAGTGGATGACCGCACCTTTTTACTTTTAGAGAGGGAGAAAAGGAAAAAAAAAGAAACACACGGGTATAAACGTCGATATCCTTCTTTTATTTCAATGCTATATTATAATTATACTTACAAATTGTAACTTTATTATTATTATTATTTATAAATAATTAACGTAGTATTTTTGTTAGAGTACTTGCAATTATAAAAATTATCTAAAATTATTTTAATGATATGAAATTAATGAATTAATATAAAATTCAATTTGTATAAATATGCAAAAATTTTTAAATTAAACTACTCTTTCTTTTTCATTTATAATTTAATAATATTATTATCTTTAATAATTTAAAGTAATTTTCAATTATAGATCCATTTAAATTAAATTATATTGATCGAAGTATCATTGTATGGTGCCTTACATGAACTGTCGATATGTAAATATTATATGTTTAAATAAAAAAATAATTGATATGAAATTGACTGAACTTTAATATTTAAGCAAAAGTGTTTAGTTTTTTCAACAAATTGAAAATAGTTTAAATAAAAATAAATGTTACTATCAAAAATATTCAAATAATAATACATCTTTCCAATTTTTTCAATATCAAATTTGAACATAAATTTGATTTTTACTATCATCAAATTTCTTATGCAAAGTTACTTATTTGAAATTAAAAATTAGAAAATATTTCGAATAGTCTATCTGAATTTCTATTGATAATAATCACATTTCATCAACGAAACAATCGAATTTTCCTTAAGAATAATTTGACAATAGAGCTCACGATATGTATTGAACTTTATTGATGTAATGAAATAGCACCTACCAATTTTACAAAATATTTATCTGACAAACCGAAAGAAAACGAATTTTATCCGAGAATACTAGAAAAAGTAGGCATTGTTCAAAGACCAAAATGAATCACTGTCACGCTTTTGTACGCAATAAAAAAATTACAGCTTACTAAGAGTAAGGCCGATTTCTTTTAATTCGCCCATACTTCTAATGATTTAATGATACATATAAGCTCTCATAAATACAACTATGCCTCTTTGAACATAAAAGGGGAGAGGTCTCCTATATGTTTAAATATATATATATATATATATATATATATATATATATATATATATATATATACATACATATACATAGGCGTGTACAAATACTTGTACGTCTCAGCTCTAAAGTGGATAAGTAACTGGAACAAGTTAGAAAAAGGAAAGTATGAACTTAAAAAGTTTGTGAAATAAATTTCCCACGAATAACTCGGAATACGAGAGCAATTATAAATTTATGTACATGAATAAATATTGTTTATATATAAACAACAGTCTAATGTTAAATACATTTTTAGAAAAATTTTTTGAAAACTTTTTGAACTACCTGATATGCTTATTCGTAAAGAAATATTTCATTAATATTAATGACTGTAAGAATAATTTTACGTGATCTTTCATCTATTTTACAATGATATTTATCATAATCATATCATATCTACTCTGAAAATCGTTATATTTTACATATTTTACATAAAATGTAGAAAAAGAATTTTGTTTTATTATTTTGTGTTATTTTTTTTAAACTTTTATCATCGGTATCTAAAATAGTAATATTTTATCATGTATTATTCTCAATTGTATAAGATATTGATATATAATTATATTAATATTATTATATTAATAAAGTTTATAAAAGTTCTTCGTAAATTGTTATACACACATGCACATACGCATACGCACACACGCACATACATATATATATATATATATATATATATATATATATATAAACACAAACACATACACACACATACACACACACGCATATATATATATATACACATATATACACGCATGCGCGCGCACACTTATATATATATATATCTATATATTAATTAAGAAAGTAATCTGAAATTTTATTTTTACACTTCTATTAACGTTAATTTGCTTATTCGAATAACGTAAATTATATTTATGGAAATTTTTTTTACTTTACAATGATTAACCATTGTACGTAAAAAGAAATTTATATTAATACACTTTAATATTGTACTTGCTTTATGAAATAGCTTATTGTATAAAAAATTCAAAAATATAAAGATGTGCATTTGTACAATATATTAGAGGGATTATTTTTGTAATTTTGAAGATAAAAACTAGGGTATAGAGAATAGTATATATAGGGTAGAGCAAACAATTTATTTTGAAGAAATAAATATCAAAATTTCAAAATAAA